TTGTACAAAATAAAAATATAATTATAGTAAAATATACGATTGATGGTATACAATAGATACAGGATAAGAGAAGAAGAGGGAAAAGTAGTTGTTCACATTATGGCATATGGCAAAACGTAATGAAAAACCAATAATATCCATACAATTATTATATAATATACTAGCTGGTAATTGAGATTGGAAATTGGGTAAGAATCCTGGAAACTGTATCGATTTGGAGAAAAAACATTACACACATTTGGGTAAAAATAAAAATTCGCATCCGGCAACCCTGGTCTCGACCGTCCCAGTTTTTAGGTCAGATAGAAAATGGGTATATAGTGAGGCAGTTGAGTGCCTATTTACTTTAGTTAATGTTACTTGTCGGTCATAAAAGATACCTGAAAATGTATGGGTTTAAAAGAAACTGTTAATTTTGCTCCAGTTACGTAGAATAATCGTCATACGTCGATTGTTCATTGCGATTGAGATTATTTTTTTATGGGTGATAATGGAATGGTAACCCCACCCACGCTATCGGTATACACCGGCGGGGCACCAGTGAAGGATGATAGGTGAGGATGAAGCAGGTCAGTTAGCCCATCGTGACGAATTCAACAAGAATTGTTCACGATGGTTTCCGGGGAGAACCACGTGGAGGTCGACATGATAGGGCATGTTGCTAGCAATGGGGCTGTTAAACTCCATTGCTAACAACCCCTTTCCCCCCTTGAGATTGAGATTACAAATAATTGAATAATCGAATTTTCTCAGTCTTCGTATAGGTATGATAAACTAGTAGGTATTAGATAGTCCATGTTACATCATTGTAATTAATAATTTATTTTTATTAATATATAGCAGTTTAACTATATTTCTGTATAAAACTATATATTGCTGACAATTTAAAGGTTTAAATAATACTATTTCATATAGAATAATACAGATTACAAAAGTTAACAATATGTACACAAAATAATATTAGTAAATAGGGGGGAAAGGGATTGTTAGTAATGGAGGCTGAGAATCACATTGCTAGCAATATACCCAACCAGGTCGACCTCCTCGCGGTTCCCCCAGGAAACTATCATGGTTAATTCCTGATGAATTCATCATGATGGGCTAACTGGCCTGTTTTCATTCTCTCATCTCATCTATCACCCTTCACTGGTGCTCCGCCAGCGTATCCCGTTAGCGCAGGCGGGGTTACTATACCATTTTCACATATCGAAAAAAAAAAAAATATATATATATATATATATATATATATATATATATATATATATATATATATATATATATATATATATATATATATATATATATATATATATATATTAAGTGATCCAGAGATTTGCAGTAGTGTTGGTCAAGGGATGTACAGCAGCGCCCCACTTAAAACATCACCAAATTCTAACTGCGGTTGACAACTTAAGGCTAAGCGTGACGATTGCAGGCAAAATCCCTCAAGGCGTGGCCTAATTCAGTAGTGGAAATTTGACAACTGATGCCGATGATGATGATATTAAGTGGACTTGATATTCACAACGATAATCATTCTGTATTCATGACTAAATTAAAGTGTTGATATACCTCCCCGTTACATTATATTTATTTATATTTTATAATAATTTGAATACAATTTCCATTATTTATATTATATTATTATTCGTATTGTTAATATCTTTACTCATTTAATAATTTAATTATATTTTAATGTTTGTCAAACACAAGGCATGCTGTGGTTGCCTATAAATGTAAGAACAGTGAGATCTGATCTGCCAGTGTATTGTATTAAAATTTAGCTTTATTGTAGCTGTATCTTATGTTGGTAATCCTATAAATAAATAAATAAATATTCAATAATATAAAGGTTATAGATATTTGAAGAAAATTATCACATTATTAAAGGGCTTCAGGCCGTCACGTGGTTACAAAACGTCGACCAATATGGCGTCCAAACGAAATAACCTCTCTTAACAACTGAACGTGCCGTTTTTATATAATACCCTTAACTGCCTCTCAAAGTTGACCTTGACCTTGACACGACGGGAGACGTTAGGGAGACGCTTCTCGACTGGAGGCCACTCCAATATCAGGGACAATTGCCTATAGCCAACACTAGTCGCTACAATCGATACTTACCAGCTGACCGGATTATTCGAAACTATATTACTAATTTGAGAAACGACATTTTCTAAATTGGCTCGAGATTTTTTTTATACAACTTAGCTGATAGCAACAAGCTGATGGCCCACCTGATGGAAAGTGGTAACCGTCGCCTATAGACATGAGCAGTACCATGGACATAACAGAGTGTACTGTTTTGTCCATGATACCCCCCATGCGTTGTCATTCCTGAGGACTCAGATGTTATTCCTCTGTACCCAGTAAATTCACGCCGAGATCATTCTGGGTTCTGGTCTTAGATATTTTTCGCTTGGTTACCACTTTGAGGACCAGCTGATGGACGATGATGTGGAATTTCCCATTATTTATGTCTATCACACATACGAAGCTGACAAAAGTTAGTCACTTATAAACTGGTTGTATTATCTCTTATAACTGGCTAGAGAAATAAACGAAGTGGATTCGCTGACTTAGCATGTGGAGATGCAAGAAGATCACAGTCAATTGTCACTCACGCTCGAGTGCACTCCACCAGAGAGCAGCCCTCGCTTTGAATATAAAGTCTAGGATTCTAGAATAAATTGCTTCACTCTTTAAACAATCTGGCCTTTGTAACATAATACTATTTTGTCCTGCAAAAAGATTTTATTCGTAATTAAATAAACTTATGGCGAGTAAATTGGATAGAAGTTTTTGCTGTGAAAAAAATTCGCCATATGGACCCCCCATAGAATGAGTCACGGCTTCCTTTCGCGTGGGTGTCGTAAGAGGCGACTAAGGGAACTTAAGAGTCAAAGGATTGACAGCAGTGTCTTTCTTAAAACATCACGAAACCCTAACTGCGGTTGCTAATCCGCCTGCCAAACGTGGTAACAAAGCCAAACCCCCAAAATAGACTTATGGGAAAAGCCTATGTTCAGCAGTGGACTGATAATGGCTAATAAAATGATGATGAAACAAAAATGGCCGCTTCAATCAAATAATACAATTAGTATAATAATAAACGCTACACTATCGCACCAATCACCTAGTTCCCGAGGTAGTATATTCTGTTATATGATAAACTAGGTGTCAAACATCTGGAACAATCCAGAACACCAAAACTCGAGCCGATTAAAAAAATCTGCTTTCTAAATTCGACTTTGAATAGTATCTGGACCTCATTTACGCAAACAGAGGGAGACTTTGTATAAAAGCCGTTTGCTTGAGTAGCTCTGCCCCATTCGTGTTTCTACCGTGAAGCAGTCGTGTTTGCATAGCTCTGTTTCGGTTTGAAGGGTTTGGATATGGCAGTAAATTTACAGGGTACAGAGGAATAACACTTGAGTCCTCAGGAATGGCAACGCATGGGGGTATCATGTGCGAAAGTGGTATGTCCATAGTAGTACTCATATGTATGGGCAACTTTTACCACTTTCCATACTTTCAAGTGGGCCATCAGCTTGTTTGCCATTCTAAAGTTGCATAAAAAGCAGTCCGTCAGTGCACTAAGGAAGTAGGCAAAATATAAGGCCAAAAAGGATAAAAAAGGATAAAGTTGTTAATATCTGGTCAGAATTGACCACGTAAACGTGCATTATATGGTTCCAATTTAAATTAGTAAAAAACACAGATTAATGAAGTAAAAAATTAAAAAAAAAACCTTTCCCTTCTAATTGTTTATAAATTAATTATAAACTCCAAATATACTTTATTAACCATTGAGAATTTATGAAATAAAACACAAATTACCCAACTTCAAGAAGCGAAACGTTGGGCCTTTGACAAAAACCCTTTTGCCCAAATGGATTTGTGACGGCTTACCGTTGCCTCATTTTTGTTTCGTCACTAACCCTGTCGCGTCCAGAACACCCGTGGGCCGAGACTCCTTTATTATTAATGACTTCGTTTTCATTAAGGGCATAAATTTATTTTTTCCATTCGGCGTTTAATTAAAATTTTGTTTTGACAAATTTAATTATACATCTCCGCTTGAATGGGATTTTGTTTTGCTTTTTGTTAATAATCTTGCATCGAACGTTTGAATATGAGAAAGTTATAATTGAAATTTCCAAGTCAATAGACGATTATTTTGTGGTCGTTATAGGATTAATCTCAGACATGACAAAATCATATTCAGTGTTTTTCTCTTTCTCTCTCTCTCTCTGTCTGTCTATCTTTCTTTCACTCATACTCGAGAACGGGTGTTGTTTTAAAAGAACTTGTAACCAAGTCTATTCAAATAAGAATTATTTGTATTCTACGAGTATTTTACAAACATTTTAGATCGCTGAATGATAAAAATTTGTTTAGATTAATGCAAAAATAGTTTGTTAAAATACAATTGGAATAAATTGTGTTTGTGTTATGGAGGTAGAAGTTAAAATATTGGTTTATTTTGAGTATCAACAGAAAGAAATACATGCTGATAATAAAATAGTGAAACATAAATCTGTTTGGGGTTTATACGTCACTCCGAATACATTTTCTCGCGCAGTCGCTTATTAGATCAATATTGGGATTATAATTTTTTTTACCTTCTACTCCTACGTATCAGAAAGAAAACTTGTCTTCTAAATTAATTTTTTTAAACCACTGAGTTGGTAAACAAACATACGGTCCACATAATGGTAAGCGGTTACCGTAGCCTATGAACACCTGCAATACCAGGGGCATTACGCGCGCGTTGCCGACCCTGAAGAAACCTCTTTAACCCCTTTTAAAGAACCTCAAGTTGTAGTCTCTAGGGAAAACCTAGAAGTAGTTAAAGTTAAAACATTTTAAAGTAGTTACAAGACCAATAAAATTTAAATAAGGCGGAAAGACAAAAACAATCCTGTAAGTGTAAGCTTGTTTATAGGTGCTTTTGATTTTATTGAGTTTGTCCAATGTTTCTCTATATATTGTTACAGATCGAGAATGTCCCGACTTGGAACAGCCAGAAGTCGGTCATGTGACGATAGACGGAAAGTTATTCGGCGGAAAGTGAGTGATTTAAATTTTTTAATAGCACTGAAGTAGCAAACAAGCAGTATAGGCAGAGGTCCTGATATTTTAAATTCGTCAAATCAGTTTTTAGTCATACTAAGAATGGCAAACAAGCTGACGGATCATCTCATGGAAAGTGGTAATCGCTGCCAATAGAACTTTAATGGTACCATGGATATCACAGTACTTTGCATATATGTATATATAATTTCACTGTCATCTTTTATTTTCATATCGAAATACAGCCATGCAAGCATCCATTCGTGTATTTAAGATTATTTTTAAAGACTTGGCTCCTTAAAAATTAACATTTTACATATTCGAATCTATATCTCTTTGCGCATAGTTAAAACTCCCGCTTGCATTCTAGAGTGTGCACCAAGAAATTCAGAAATGAGCACTCCCCCTCCCCCCTTAAATAAACCTATAATAAAAACACAGCTGTTACAAAATCACGGATGGAACAGACATAGTCATGCAGACGACTTTTATCCGAAGTCTCCCGTTGGTGTCATCTAGTTCATGTTTATTCCAAACATTTCATCCAGGGCGACGTACTCGTGTCCACATGGGTACCACGTGGTGGGACTGCAGAGTCGGAGTTGCCAAGCAGATGGCAAATGGGCGGGCCAAGCGCCAGCGTGCAAGGAGAACAGTAAGTCTTATGTCCTAATACCTTTTGCCTTCTAGGTATTTGTCTGTAAAAGAACCGCCTTGTTGGATAAACTAAAAAAATCTTTAATTCGTTACAAAAATTTAGAATTTTAACTTTAAATGTAATCTACAAATGTGAACTTTGAACGTTTATCTTTTAAATTTAATAATTCCTAATCATCTTGTTCCTATCTTAATTATTTGGCGTTGGCGTTATAATTTTGAAATTTCTAATGCAATAGCTAAAAGAAATCCCACTGATTTGTCAGTATTGCATGTAAATGCTGATTCATTTTCTTGATTTTATTTTTTCTTTCATATTTCCAGTCTACTGCCTGCAGCCGCCAACGATCGAGCACGCCCGCCATTCCGCATTACCCGAACAGGCCACCTTCGATCTGGACGCCACGGTCCAATACATCTGTCACACGGGTTACGTTACAAATGGTTTCCCGAGGGCGAAGTGCCTCGCCATAGACGGTCAGGCCTCGTGGTATGGTCCAGACATTAGTTGTGAGCGTACGTATCTATAAAATTAATTAAAAGTAAGATTCCTTACTAACATTCTTATTTTTATATTACTGAGGTGGCAAACAAGCATATGACCAATCTGATAGTAAGCAGTTATCGCAACCTATGAACGCCTGCAATATCAGGGAATTACGCGCGCGTTGCCGACCCTAAAGAAACTTTTTTTTCGAAGAACCCCATGCTGTAGTCACTTAGAAAACCTCGACAGAGAGCTTATTCCAGAACCTAATCGTTCATGGGAGGAAATGTCTTTAAAACTGCGCTGTACGCGACCATCTAGGCTCTGAGGAACGTGGATAAACTTTCTGTCGATGGCGAACTGTACGATGGTAGAAGCCGTAGGGATCATATTGAATAATCCCTCTGAGCACAATCCGTTGTACAAGCGGTAGAAAGTATTTTTTTATTATGACTCTTGGGTATACTGGACTTGGAAGCGAGTATATCTGCAGAATTAGATTGACCAATAGAGTCTGATTTTTTTATAATATTATAAATGATATACAAGCTGAAGTTGCCAGTAATTGCCACGCTTGGCTGATTGGCAGTTAGGCCTTGGAGATGATTTAAGAGGGACACTACTGCATACTCCTCGCCCTACTTTAGTCGCCTCTTATGACTCCCACGGGAAAAGAAGGGGCGGCCTATTCTATGCCAGGATCGTACGGCGAATATATTTATATAGTATTAGAGTTATTTATGCAGACGAATTTTAGACAAAGTTTCAGTGGTTACCTTCAGTTGATTGATCTCATGGACCATTCTACACCTAAAATAATTGAAAGCTGTTTACTTTTACTAATCCTACTAAAACTATAAATATTTGCTTGTTACTTAATCATGCTTAGACAGCTGACAGATTTGAATAAAATTTGTTACACCTGTATATTTTAATTTAGCACCTAAGATACTTTTATACTGATTCAAGCGGAGAAAGTCGCTGAAGCAGCTAGCGAAGTTATTTTTTTTAATTTAGGGCTTTGTCTTCCTTAGATACTTGTATATCAAACGTATCGTATCCTGTACTGATTTTTTAGAAAAGATCAATGTTATCTACTTTGCCTGCCCACGCAAGGAAAAAAATTAAAGGGCATTAAGAAATTACAAAAATGTTAAAAAAAATTGTAAAATCTATATTTAATGTGATGAAATGGAAAAATGTGAAAATATCGAATGAATTTTTCTCTTTTCGTCGAGTTTTTACGACACTAACTGTATATTGTGTACATTATAATAATCTTATGTTTACAGCTCGTTCCTGTGGCGAGCCAGGCGATGTACCCCACGGGTGGGTAACAGCCGACTGTCACACGTTCGGCTGCCGAGCCGTGGTGCAGTGTGGGCAAGGGTTCGAACTGGTCGGCAAGGCGGAGAGATACTGCCAAGCAGACGGAGTATGGGCTCCTAAGGAGCTCCCAACTTGTGTCCGTAAGTATATTGGTCAGGGTTTTTGATTGTATTTTAGGGATGAGTCTGTTTAGGCCCAAACAAAATTTTAATACGTCAATTTTCATTTAACTTCGGATATTTGGATGTTTATACACACAATTTGAGTTCAAACAAAATGTTTTTTAAGTTTAAACTTAAATGTTTTTGATCTTCAATTCGCTTTTTCTTAGAATTCAACTTTAACTGTAAGATAAAGCCGATTTAATGTATGTTAAGTGTATTTCTCTGGAGAAAACTCGGCCACTTTCGGGACCATCTGAGATTTTTAATCATGAGCAATTTTTGATGTTCCCAAATACAACATAGCGGCTTGCTATGCCATGATACAGATGCTCGAATGTTCTATCTGAAAGTGCACAAACTGACTACCTCCTCATCTGGGATTAAAATCATTTTATTGTACATTTGCCACTCTTTAGGACTCTACTCTTTCTACAATATATAAATACTACTAATATCCATTGTTCTAACAAAATGTTACATGTGTTATTACTATGTTGGTTTTTTTCTTACCTCTCTTTGATTCTTTTTGCTATTTCATCCTAAGTTTCAATTACCTATTACTTTATTACTATATACTTACCTGTATCATCTGATGATATTTACATAACTAGCCAACTTCTTTATTCAAGCGTAACTTATGTCTGAATATATTTGGATGTTTGGAGTACCGTTTGAATCTGCCCATCGTGGCGAATCATATTGTCTACAAATTTTATGAAAAATCATTTTTTTGGTTAATCAATCGTGTTAAAATTTTTTTTATATATATTCTTTAATTTTTATTATTATTAGCATCAAAGCAATTGGTTTATTTACTTTTCCTACAGATAATTATATTATCAAATTTGGTATCTTTACATTGAATCATTCGTTACTTAAAAATATAAATCAATAAATATGCTCACTACTATAATCTCTAATGGGACGGTCAGAGTCATTTGTTGCTTGATGCTTACTTAAGATGTATTTAAAATCACAGAACAGACTCGTCACTAAACATTAAGATATTTTACAATCGTCTGGCATCGCTTCGTGACAATGTAGTTGCCAATTTAAGTGTTATCTTTTGGAATGTTGCATGGTTTTCGAGTTTGTGGAATCTTGTGGACATCTCAATGTCTTTAACGGTGACTAGTTAGCATGACGCTTGTACTCCGGCTATTATCATGGCTATCATGTAGGCAATATCATTGTCATGATGCAATTAGATTGATGGATCTCCCACTTTGAATATTACTTCAAAATCATTGTTAACATCTTTTACTTCTTTCTTAACATTTGTTTAATCGTTTTTATTGATTATTTTTATAATGTCATCTATGGTAATGATTTCTTTGCTATTCGATATGCAAAGTTGATGTCTTGGTGTTTTAACGTTTGTTTTCGTAGTGGGATTTCCATTAATATTTAGTTGTGATTAACGAGATTTTAAACATATTTTTTCTCCTTTCCTGCCGCTGTTCAGAAGGAGGAGAGAAGGGGACACCCTGAATCTATCATTAGATAACGTAGTGTGTCTTAATAAATTATTTGTTACCATAGAATTGTTGTACTATTCAAATTCTAAACAATTAGTAATTTTCCAATATTAGTGGACTCGAAATTTATATGGCCATGATAAATTACTATAACTGCCTATAGCCAAACGTTATAGCGACATGTAGATGATATTATACAATTATTTATGTAGTGAAGGCTTTAAATCGATGTTGAACGTGCAAGAATTTATTGTAAAGAATTTCTTAAATCTACCTTACTAACTATGCTGTAGCGAAATAAAGGTAAAAATTGAACGATTGTTTTATTTCATGCATGCCGTGTTCTAATCTATGTTTTGCATGTGTTTCATTTCCAATTGCTTCTATTCCCTTCAAAATATATAATTTTTAATTGATGTAATAATATTTATAGGTATTTCCTTTAATAAACCCAATTCTATTCATTTCAATGTCAGTAATTATAGTATCAATACCATCTGTGATTTAAAAATGGAGTTAGGTTAAAGCGACGCGTGTCGCCATCTAGTGGTGACGCAGGTGCAGTGCCCGCCTCCTGAAGCTCCCAGGCATGGAAAGGCTGTGTACACATCGTGTGCATACAACTCAGTGGTGTCATATGAATGCAAATATGGATACCGGCTTGTTGGTGACGCTACGAGGCGTTGTGGGGCAGATAAAAAGTGGTCCGGGACACAGCCAGTGTGTAAAGGTACGATTTTTTTTATAACCATTTATTGATAGACCTTAATCAAAGAATCTAGGTAATCCAATTTAAAAAAACTCGCCAATATTATAAATGTGAAAGTGTTGGGTTTGCTTGTTACCTCTTGACGCCTTAACGACTTAACCAATCACTATGAAATTTGGTATACCCATACTACATGGTATGGAGAAGATTAAAAGCTACTTTTTATCTCGGTCACGCAGACGAAGTTGTGGGAAAAAGCTAGTCCTATTTATATAATAACGAAAGTAAGGCTATTTTTACCCTGGATAGTGTTCATAATCTCGGTTACGCGGTAAAAGGTAGTTCATTTTCAATAAATAACTTTTATTTTTTTAACCATTACTAATAATCCCTTTCACATTTTTTTATTCCACTGAGGTGGCAAACAAGCATACGCCCCACCTGATGGTAAACAGTTACTGTAGCCCAAAAACGCTTGCAATACCAGGGGTATTACGCACGCGTTTACCGACCCCGAGGAAACCTCTTCATGTCTTTTTTGAAGTACCCCATGCTGTAGTCTCTTGGAAAAACCTTTAAAGACTGTTGCAACATGATTGTCATTTTTTAAATTTATATGTTCATAGAAATAAACTGCGGTCATCCAGGACAACTGTGGAATGGTTGGCTGGAGAACATATCTTCAGGGACTGGTCTGGGCGCGTCCATAATCTTTAGATGTCAAGACGGTATGAAGATGGAAGGGAACGGTTCTGCCATATGCCAAAGCGATGGCACATGGAGCCATCCTTTGCCTATGTGTTTAGGTAAATATATTTAACTACTAATTTGTTTCTTTTTAAATAATTTTTAATGTATAAGTACTTTAATAATACCATTGATGTGAGGTTAGTGTCTTCTGATATGAAAGATATATGAAAGATTTCCAGCTCGCTTTGTACACGAAGATTTTTGACGTGGTTTATTGGACAATAACATGAGATTTTAAATTTTAAATTATCATTTATAGATTTCTATAATGTCAGGAATGTAACGTGTAGTTTGTCAACAGTAAAACAATTTTATAACACACTTTTTGAAGAACCATGTACTGTAGTTTTTAATCCTTTCTCCAGAGAGAGACTTTGTACAAAAGTCGATTGCTTGGGTACCTCTGTGGCATTCGTGTTTCTACCGTGAAGCAGTTGTATTTGCATAGGTGTGTTTCGGTTTGAAGGGTGGGATATGGCGTGAATTTCCAGGGTACAGAGAGTCCTCAGGAATGGCAACGCATGGGGGATATCATGGGCGAAACTGTATACTCTGTTATGTCCGTGGTACTGCTCATGTCTATAGACGACGGTTACCACTTTCCATCAAGTGGGCCGTCAGCTTGTTTGCCATTCTAAGTTGTATAAAAAAAATAGTAGCAGTAAAAATACTAGCAGTGCACTCTATCAGGTCAACCTGCACGCGGTTCTTCCTGGAGACTATTGTGGTTAATTCTAGTGGAATTTGTCATTGGGCTAAAGCACCTATTTTTAATGTCACCTATCATCCGTTACTAGGTGCCAGCGTGTAACGATAGCGCCGGGATTGCTATGATGACGGGATTACCATTTCATTATCACCCATTTAAAAAAAACCTAAGCGTTCACGAGATGGAATTCTTCTGAGACAGTACTGTGTAGTATATTTGGGGTGAAAATGGAATGGTAACCCCACTTGTTCTAATGACGTACGTTGGTGGGGTACCAATGAATGATTATAGGTGAGGATGTAGCAAAGCTAGTTTCACTGTGGTGAATTCAACAGGAATTAACCAAAATTAATTCTATGGGAGTCGCGTGCAGTTCTTAACGACCAAAATTCCCATTACTTACCAGAGGGAGACTTTGTACAAAAATTGATTGCTTGGCCACCTCTGTTCCATTCGTGTTTCAACCGTGAAGCAGTTGTGTTTGCATAGCTGTGTTTCGGTTTGAAGGGTGTGATATGGCGTGAATTTACAGGGTACAGAGGAATAACACCTGAGTCCTCAGGAATGACAATGCATTGGGGGTATCATGGGCTAAACAGTATACTCTGTTATGTCCATGGTACTGCTCATGTCTATAGGCGACTGTTACCACTTTCCATCAGGTGGGCCGACAGCTTGTTTGCCATTTTAAGTGGTATAAAAAAAATACTGTAATCCTTCCTCGTCCCATGCATGTTTATTTAGTTCCTAGAATGTGTCTGAACCACCTGTCGATGGTTTATATATTGTATTCTTAGTTCTGATCCGCAATACACAGAGAATACGTCATTTTAATACAAAATTATTAATCAATTGCTGTATTATGCATTATGTTTTAGCTCCATGCGTGGTTCCTCACGTGTCTCAAGGTCGAGTGGTGCTGGTGGAAAATAAAACTGGGGAGAATGATACTCAGGAGAGCAACACTCAGATCGTTGGCAGCAGTTCTATGGTGCAACATGGTGAGTGAATTTTACCAACCACAATATGAAGTCTCTCGGCTCAAATTCTTTTAGGAAAATGATCAGCTTTGTTGGACATTTTTAGCATTACCAGAGGGAGACTTTGTACAAAAGCCGATTGCTTGGGTACCTCTGTCCCATTCGTGTTTCAACCGTAAAGCAGTTGTGTTTGCATAGCTGTTTTTCGGTTTGAAGGGTGGGATATGGCGTGAATTTACTGGGTACAGAGGAATAACACCTGAGTCCTCAGGAATGGCAACGCATGGGGGACATTATGGGCGAAACAGTATAACTCTGTTATGTCCATGGTACTGCTCATGTCTGTAGGCAACGGTTACCACTTTCCGTCAGGTGGGCCGTCAGCTTGTTTGCTATTCTAAGTTGCATAAAAAAAAAAGATTTAAAGAAGTAGTCTGCCAATTCAACCCAATACCCATAAATTGTGACACTAATTTTCCACCGACTTAAAAAAAAAGAGATCCTTAATTCCTCTATTGTGGAATGTTTGTTTGTTTGTTTTTATGTTTGTTACCTCATAACTCCCTCAGTTAGAAACTGATTTGGAAAATTCTTTTTTTATCTGAAAGAATATACTTATAGGTTCAGTAGATTAGTTTTTAAATCAAAATTACTGGTTTTGTCACAACTGAAGTAGGGTTTTTAACGGAATACAATCTTTAATTATATCAAATATTTATTTATTTATTTTATTTATTTATTAAATACAAAAAAAAAAATACAACAGCGAGTAGCGCACTAGGAGAACCTGTATCGCGGGAGTCCATATGAGATTACCATGACACGGTGGTTTACAAATATAAATTAAATTAAAATACTAAGCCAGTTTTACGAAAGCAACAAGTTAAAATGAAGTGCTTCGCGAAGACATGCGCGCATAAAACAGAAAATTATGTAAATACTCTAATATTACATAAATAAATACATACATAAATAATAGATTGCAAATTTGCTTACCAATCAATACCAAACTAATGAGTGCTTGTGCTTGGTGAAACTAAAAGTGAAGTTTCATTGTGCTATTTTATTTGTCTTCTCATTGCATTTAAAATAATTATAATATTTTTGTCATTATAATAAAAAATTTTTACTTGCCTTATGGTTGACTGGTAGAGAACGCCGTTAGGTGTTAAGTCCGCCATATGTACACTTACTTGTATTATATAATTGCGTATTGAAGTTTAAATGATTAAATAAATAATTCTCAGAGGGAAGCGTAGACTGAAAACCAATGTTGTAATACGAGTATGATAACCACTGTAAACTGTTGACAGGCAAATAAATATAAAACAAGCTAATATTGTGGGTTTTCCTGTGATATAATTGTTTTAAATCTATCCTCAGGTGAGATAATCCTCGTAGACTGCGAGAAAAACTATGAGTTCCCTTCAAACAACGCAGCAGTCACGTGCAACAATGGAACCTGGACTCAGATACCAAGATGTCAACCGGCAAGGTTTGTTCTTATTATGCAACTAGAATTAGTAAACAAGCTAACGGCTCGCCTGATGGAAAGTGGTAACCATCGCTTGTAGACATGACCAGTACTGCAGATCAGTATGGGACACAGAAGTTACTGTAGTAACCTTATGGGTTACTATTCCTGAATATTAAGATGTCATGATAATGGAATGGTAACCGCTGGCTGCGCTATCGGTATACACTGGTGCCCCAGTGGGGGATGATAGGTGAGGATGAATAGGAAGGTCAGTTAGCCCATCGTGATGAATACACCTAGAATTAAGCACGATAGTTTCAGGGTGGACCGCAGGGCGGTTGATCTGACAAAGTACATTGCTAGCAATGGGGCTGTTAGGACCCATCGCTAAACCTCCCCCCCACTACTAGATGTTAAGAGTATGTATCCTCTAACTGGTGCTTTACAGTAGAAATACAAATAAGTTATATGTACCCATGCAAACGAGTTTAGTACAAAGTCTCCCTCTGGTTTTTTATCCATAAGCTAGCTGTAACCCGTGGCGTTACCTACGTAATGTCCGATGTGTTAAAATAGTATATGCATAACTAGTTACTAGTCAAAGGTATAAATTAATTATAAAATTCAAATCCTATTCATGAATTACTATTAGTGTTATGTAGCAAACAGGATTTGAAATTCGTGTCTAGTTTAGTCTACAATTATTAATTTAGTATAACTTAGTATATATATTGTTTTGTTATTGGCATTTTAAATATTCTATTAAAATTACAGAGGATCTGATAATAGGTTTTAAATATTTGTTTGTCTAAAATATTTATCGAAATGCAAATGTACTATAGTTTCATATCACACACACACACGCACACGCACACGCACACGCACAACGCACACGCACACGCACACGCACACGCACACGCACACGCACACGCACACGCACACGCACACGCACACGCACACGCACACGCATACGCACACGCACACACACGCACGCACGCACACACACACACACACACGCGCGCGCGCGCGTCTATGCACATACACACACGCACACAGGCACGCACACACACACGCACAAGAGCGCGCACACACGCTAGAACTAAACATCCTATTTATAATATAAAGATTGCGCGCGTGTGTGTGTATACGCAATATTTAGTCCTACAATATACACAAACTAAATTGTAACTATCCAGTTATTGTAACAGGAATTTGGAAGTAAGAGACTGTATCTGGGAAACCTACTAAACTAAGTATAATTTAGTAGGTTTCCCAGATACAGTCTCGACCCGTGTGGGGATATAGTTAAGCAATTTTGTAACTTACTGTTTGTATAAAGCTTATTATTATTATTAACTATGTAATAAGTAAAAAAAAGCAGATGATATTTTCAAAATTTTGTTCAGATGCAAAAAAATGCCAAAGTATCCGCGCAACGGGATGGTTATAGCACCTAAGACGGAGCACGGAATGAAGGCGAGGTTCCGTTGCAAAGATGGATACGAACTGAAAGGGAACCCTATTGTGGTGTGCTCCTTTGGCAACTGGAGTGGAGAGGCACCCAAATGCGAAGAAGGTAGTACTAAATATATTTTTCATACAACTTGGAAAGGTAAGCAAGCTGATGGTCCACCTGATGGAAAGTAGTAACCGTCGCCTATAGACATGAGTAGTACCATGAACATAACAGAGTATACTGTTTCGCCCACGATACCCCCCATACGTTGCCATTCCTGAGGACTCAGATGTTATTCCTCTGTACCCTGTAAATTCACGCTTCATATGTGCTTCTCATTACCAATCCTGAAGACTACGATTTTTTTTAATGAGTGAGAATGGAATGGTAACCCCGCCTGTGTTATCGGTATATTTGGTGGGGCACCAGTAAGTGTGATAAGTGAGGAGAAAAGCAAGCCAATTAGTCTGTCATGACATAGATTTCACAAGAATTAACCACCATGATTTCAAAGAGTACCACGTGGAGGGCAACTTGATAGGGTATATTGCTAGCAATGTGGTTGTTAGACATTGTTGCTAACAATTCCTTTCTCTCTGGACTACGATGTCATGCCTTCATACCCTGTAATAGGTTATATCCCTCCAAAACAGTCATGTAAGTACAGTTGCTTCAAGATAGTAACACGAGGTGATCAGAGTATTTTTCTAATATATTTATTTATTTATTTAACTCTTTATTGCACTATAAATAAAAATATACAAATGACAAGTGAATAATTAAAGTGAAATACAGTAACATAAATACACATTAAAATATACACATAAAGGTACAAAAGGCGGTCTTATCGTTAGGTCAATCTCTTACAGACAAAGGAGAACAGATAGAAATGGGCAGGTGGCGCAAGAGTGAATTAATAATTTTTCGTGCATAAAATACAAAAACTTTATTATTTATTAGTATATTTTCTTATAATAAATTAATATAATTAAAATTGGCTTTATCATGGTCATTTCAGCCATTATCCGTCCACTGTTGGACATAAGCCTAGCAAAATTGGCTTATAATTGCTTAATGGATATATTATATGTATACATATATAATATAGTCGTATAAGAAAAATGTTTCCATTAAAATCTCGGTTGATTTTTGTATGAAATCTTTCTGTTGTTGAAATTTTGGGTTATTTAAATTAAAATAAATAAATAATATTCTTTGAATTAGCTTGGATCTTGATGTTTTAGGATATGCCCTCAGGTGTTCAATGCATGGTTTCCCGTAACAAACGGTATCCTACCCTAAGGACCAGGATATCGGTGTGAATATGGGACATTTTACTATTATTATTCATTTGTCTATTATTATTATTATTATTTGAGATTGACCTGACTCTTTTTACATTACAGTTTTCTGTCCATTTCCTGGTTACATTGAAAATGGGAAAGTATTGCTTGTTGGTAACATGGGACTGTATGATTATCGGCCTTACGTTAAAAAGGTGAGTAAATTTCTATATTAGATAGATAGATAGATACTTTTTATTGTTTCCTTTCAAAAGGTTACAATAGTAAACTTATTATAAATACAAACAATTACAAGGAATGATCACAATGAGAAAATAATGCGCGACCTTATCGCTAATAGCGATTTCTTTCAGGCAACCTTTGGAGGGAGAAGAATTATTCTTTTTTCTAATAAATTTCTTTTTTATACAACTAGAATGGCAAAGAAGCTGAAGGCCCACCTGATGGAAAGTGGTAACCGTCGCCTATAGACATGAGCAGTACCATGAACATAACAGAGTAAACTGTTTCGCCCATGATACCCCCATGCATTGCCGTTCCTGACGACTGAGGTGTTATTCCTCTGTACCTTGTAAATTCACTGCCATATCCCACCCTTCAAACCGAAACACAGCCATGCAAACACAACTTACTGTCCGACTCGACCCACTGAAACTGCGCAGAGATGTTGCATCTCTGTGCATCTTCTACCGAATTTATCATGGGGAGTGTTCTGAGGAATTGTTCGGATTGATACCTGCTGCTGATTTTCACCACCGTACAACCCGCCACAAACTAAAGTTTCATCCCAATCATCTGGACGAGTGGCGGTCTTCCACCGTGCGTTTTTCAAGGCACTTTCTTCCACGCACAACCATTCTTTGGAATCAACTTCCAGCAGCAGTATTTCCGAACCGATACGACAACATAACCTTCAAGAAAAGAGTATATTCCTTTTTAAAAGGCCGGCAGCACACCTGCAATGCCGCTGGTGTTGTGGGTGATCATGGGCGGCGGTAGTCACTTACCATCAGGTGAGCCGCATGCTCGTTTGCCCCCTGTGTTGTAAAAAAAAAAAAAAAACAACTGTTTCATAGTATAAACACGAATGAGACAGAGATGTCCAAGCAAACAACTTTTATACAAAGTCTCTTTCTGGAAAATAATATATTTAACATTGGTATAAGTATCCACATTAAAATATTTAATATACAATGACGGATTTACCCCATAGAGGGATCTCTTACAGTCAACCTTTGAGAAGCTGAAAGAAAATTATAGAATGTTCAAGGGTAAAAACCGTACAACTAAAAATAAACTCAATGATACCTAGTTAAAATTGAATAAGACATATAGTATTTGTTTCAGGTAGTAAACAACAAGCAAATAATGTATGAGTGTGAGAAAGGGTATGTATTGTCCGAGGGACCTCCCGGAGCCACTTGCGTCGGAGGACATTGGAGTCCAAGAGAATTGCCGAAGTAAGTAACGTTGATATCGAACCCAGAGGACGTTAACCGAAATTTCTAATGTATCATTTAGTAACATGATAAATAACTACTGCTAAAGTCAACGTAGATATTTTACTATACAAATAATGCATAGAATATGCATTTTATGAGATTATTTTACATCTCCATTTAAATTTTAATATACTTATTTGTATTTGATTGGTTTAGATCGAGTGTGCTTGAAATTTTTAAATATTTTTAATAGTAGGAAAATGTTTATTATTTCTATAAATACAATCAAATGAAAAGTTTTGTGACTACAAAATAAAGCAAAAAACTATCAAAATCATGCATACATGCATTTAATAAATAACAAAATCAAAGTAGTATAACAGGCTGAAATCTTTACAAAATAAACAAAAATAATAAATACACGATTAAGACCCAAACATTTAAAATTATATTACCCAATGTACATCTTGTTATATATTGCTGTACCAATTAATCAAAAATGCCCTTAGATGCACACTGTATCAGCATCCACGTATAAGGTGGAGTCGCAGACGACGGTCAGTCACAGAGCCAGAAATACGTCACCGCCGAGATGTTTATCTACGCCAATATTACAACAATATACGGAGACAAACAGACCCAACACAGCAGTACGTGGATCAACTTTATAACAAATATAATCACAATAATCAAAAACAAACATTAAGGCATGCAAACTTTAAGCTTATGAAGAAATTGGATACGGACTTTGAAGAGGACATGGTTCCTGGTAGTGATATTGAGAGTTCTGATGAGGAAAACTTTCCTACGGCTGTGTATACCGTTTATAATGTACATGGAGAACCCATTGGTCATAGGTTATACTCTTACCAACCAGTATATGAACCAGAGGAGGATGATTTAGTCGTACGCGAAGATGCTTCGGAGTATGAAAATTCTGAAGAATTGAATGACCTGTCTCATGTTACTGTATTAAAAGGAGGACTATTTCCCGATCATGATTCGGAAAATAATGGAAACGCACGGAACATAGACAGATTAAAACATCAATATTTTGAAAGATATGTTGATAAACGTAGAAAAAGATTTTTAACTCCAAAAACTATTGATGATAGTAAAAAGGAGTTGAATGAGGATTTACAAACAGAAAATTCTGTTGAAGTTACAACTAGTACAGTAGAAACTACAACGAAATCAAGAAAGCGACGTGGAATTAACGCTGAAGAGAATTATAGAGAAATAGTAAATGTTATTTCTACAATGAAAAGTTTAGAGTCAATTAATGATATCAATGGTGATTTTTTAAAAGTAATACCTTTAGAAACTCAATCGCATAATGATACCATGAAAGTGTATGGCGAAGAAATGGCTGTAATTCCATTACAATATAATAACACGAATTCTACTGAAGTAGATAATATACTTGATAAACGGGAAAAGAGGACAAGTAGAAAAACAGACAGACTGAATCAAACTACTGCGACTATACCAAAAACGTAAGTGAAATATAATAAGTTAATAACATTAATTGCTGTACTATCATACGCGATATAAATAAAGGTAAATATAATGAAAAAGTCGTGCATTATATTAATATTACAAGCATAAAAGTTTGTAAAGATGTTTACAAGTTTGTAATTTATTCTTAAAAAGCTGAACAGATTCTTATGAAATTTGTGATCACAGATGAACTATATTTTGTAATAACACATGGGATACTTTTTAAATGTTTTGATGTTGCCACGGGTTACAGCTAATAATATACATTAATAGTATATTATGTATTCGATAATAACACTGTATTAGTAGATACTGACTGTCATATTTAAAATTATTAAGATTTATATAAATTTGCTACTAATTAACTTCCAGAGGACGAGAAGGTAAAGGCGGCAGACGTAACCTTCAAGCTGAAAGTAACAGTGAAGAAAATCAAAGCACAGAAATAAAAGAAATTGTAGAAGGAATGAATAAAATGGACGGCAACCAAACAGAGAAAGGGAAGAAGGGTCGACCGAAGAGCCCTTGTGAACCAATAGAGAGTGAGCCTTATGTAAATATTGAGATAGTGAAATATGGGAGAGAACCTAATAATACTTTTAGTTCTGGTAAGTAAACCTTTCAATAAGTTTTTTAATTATATAACTGAGATTAAAGAGCAATAGATTATTCCAGTTATTATTAAAATTAATGGCAATATGAAATTGGAAATTGAAGTTAACATAAACCTGAACAATATAATAATAATAATAATCTGTATTATTACAGGCTACAATGACACAATTTGTTAGTAACGTAATCTTTTTAATAACGTAATAATTCCACGAGACAGGCTTTGCCTAGTGTGGGGTCATAGCTATATTGTACCATAGGCTAATTTTGTTAAAGGAAATAAAGATATTATTATTCTTATCTTAGCCTAATGTTAATACATCTTCCAATAAAATTAATAAATAAAAGAGACAATAAACAAACTTGATTACCACTGAAGCATCCCATTTAAGATATTACAACAGCGACCAATTTAAGGGCAGTGCAGACTGCTTGCAATCATATTGGTATATCGGGCGCTTTTATAATTAATATTACGTGTATATCGATAAAAATCGAAAAAGGAATGTTGCGTTGGTTTGGTCATTTGGAGGATGGATGAAAGATGAATTACGAAAGAGATTTATCGGGCAAGAATGAATGGAGATGTCGGTAGGAGCCGCCCTAGACGGACGTATGTCGACCAAATAGGCGACGTGCTGAAGAAGGGCCAGATTAAAAGTACCCGTAACCGGCGAGCGTGTATGAAAAGATTGATGAATGTGGAAGAAGCGAAAGAGGTTTGTTTGAATCGAAGCATTTGGCGTTCCATTGTTTCTGCCTACCCTAATAGGAGACAGGCGTGACAGATATGTATATATATATCGATAGTAAGATTTTAATCTCACGATATTATAGGATAACAAAATGTATGGAGACACATTTAATTTTTTCTAACGATTGTGTCACGGAATTGCACGTCCATAATATTTATTCCCTTGGTGTTGACAAATCACTGCTAATTGACAAAGTAAAATGAAAGATTGTAATGGCAAATCTATAAAATAAAGTCCAGCTTAGCAGCAACATTTGACTGGTCTTATTCAATTTTTTGGTTTCAGTCGTGACTATATATATAGTGTTTATATAACATAAATTTTATTAACAGGTACAATAGTTCGAGTTGCCTGCGGTAAAGGCTATGGACTGAATTTAGAGAATAACGCTACAGCGAAATGTGTGCGAGGCAGGTGGAAGCCAGAGAAACCAAAATGTGAAATACGTATGTACTATAATTTTTTTTATGCTTTAATAAACTTGTTGTCCATCAATGTATACCAGAGGGAGACTTTGTACAAAATTTGTCCCATTCGTGTTTCTACCGTGAAGCAGTTGTGTTTGTATGGCTGTGTTTCGGTTTAAAGAATAACACCCGAGTTCTCAGGAATGGCAACGCATGGGGAGTATCATGGACATAACAGTATACTGCTCATGTTTATACGATTACCATTTTCCATCAGGTGGGCCGTCAGCTTATTTGCCATTCTAATATGCATAAACAAATGTATCCATCTGTTAATAATATAATATTAATCAATTCGTTCTCAGTCTGATCTCAATCTGGTATAATGCGTACCAATACGTAAGAAAAAATATATGTGTAGTATAGTCCAGTTTTCCCCCAGTCGAAGTGTTTCTACCCAAAATTAAAATTTGACCTAGAACAAACTGACATTGGCATTATACTATGGATCAGGCTTTAATATAATCTAAGTTTTGAAAATTTTGGTTAAAACTTATTTTTAAATGATTTCAAAGAAGAAGGTTCTTTGTCTGAAAGAATATAATTACAGATTAGTCTCATAGAATCGTTTTAGTAGTTAAGTTTTTAATCGAAATCGTTTTAGTAGTTAAGTTATTAATCAAAACTAGTTTGGCCACGATTAAAGTCGATTTTTTTGTGAAACACAATTTATTTAATATAACTTTGTCAATCTATATAACAAAATAATGGCCCACGGAAAGCTTTAACCGTTGCCACAAATATGGGCTTCACAAAATACACTGTGGTTCTGCTTATCGTATCCCTCAAGTTTCATCATCAGTCCTCAGGACTAAGATATTCAAAAACAACTACGAAAGCACAGTTAGACTGACTAGTAAGGCAGAAGTACTTAAGCAGACCACTTTTGTACAAAGCCTCCTTCTAGAAATTTCAATCAATGGAGTAGTTCTCCAGAACTTGAACGGTTTTCTCTTACGAGAATGAAGTCACTCAGCTTGTAAGATAACTCCAAATTATGTAAAAAATGGTATCCACAGGACTAGTTGGAATTAAATTAAATCCTTCATTGTCAGTGCCCTGCCACGTACCGTCTACCGAGTATGGCATCTACACGATGCCCATAGAGGTCGGCCCGATGACCGCCAGTCAAGTCCTGGGCTCAGGGATAGGTAATGGAGAGGAAAGAGAATTGAACGAAACCGACCCGGTACCTAATGGGCAAGTTGTCCATTTCTCTTGTGAATATGGGTAAGTAAGCAATTACTTTATAGAACCTACTTTCACTCCTAAAAAGGTAGTGGTAGAAGCCACATCAAGATTCCATGCTGCTTTCGTAGTATGCAAAGATCTCTAATATAGTTTACCGGACGATGACATTATGTGTTTTTCGTTTTTTATTTTGACGTGTTCTACTAGAGAACCTGAACATTTTTCTCGCAAAAAATTGTTCAAACAAGACAATAAATTTAAATCTCAGTTAGATTGTACATTTTAAGAGAAATATTCTATTTTAAATACACTATCGGGACTTAATGCGACGAAAAACCGATTGTACGAGCTGCCAGACGAAAACGCCGTTCACTTCAGTTCTGTCGTGACCACGATATGGTGCAAACGTCAGTAATAAAAAAACAGGTATGTAGGTACTATTTACCTGCAAAAATCATCGTGTTTCCCGATAGTGTCTTTAAAATATTCAATTTTATTGATTCTAGGGTACTAAATTCAGGTATATGTCGGAAATAGAAGTTTAGAGTAGGATCTAGCGAGAGGATAGATATTAATAGATTAATGAAGTGTTAGTAAATGGAGTCAACATGAAAGACTTTAGGTAGTAGATATTAAAATGCTGGTTTTACGAAATACTCTCAAACCTTTCAGTGAGAAAATTGAATACGTTACATTCCATTAAATTTTAAGCATCACTGATAAAACAATGTATTAGAAATTATAGGAGTTCGATATAGAAATAATGAGTTATTATGATTTTCCAGTTACAATGTACAAGGCCCAACGAATCTTCGTTGTTGGCTTGGAGAATGGGCGGTTACGAGTATGCCAGAATGCGTTGCAGGTAAAGTATCAAATACTTTAACTTCTGCACTACTAAAAAAGTAAGAATAGAGTTTGCACCACTCAACTTCAACCACTATATGTCGTAAGAGGTGCCTAGAAGAACATTATGTTTTTTTTTATATACCACTGTCTGACTGATGATAAACGGTCACTGTAGCCTATGGACGCCTGAATTAGAACTAAGGGTGTTACGTGCGTGTTGCCGACCCTGAAGAAATCTTAATATATCCTTTTTGAAGAGCCACATACTGTAGTCTCTGGGGAAAACCTCGGCAGGACGATCATCCCACAGCCTGAGAAAAGGTGAAAGTAGAATGATATCTTATTAACATCTTTATCCTCAGGAATGTCAGTGTATGAGTATCATCGTAAGCATCTGAGTATATTCTGCGATGTTCTCGTCTTACGGTGATGGTTACCATTTTATATCTGGTAGACCAACAGATTGTAAGCAATTCTGCGTTAAATAAAAAAAGTTCTTCAATGATGATGATAAAGTATGATAAAGGAATAATCAACCAGCATTATCTTAACTCATCCCCAGCGCCATGTGAACTGCCTCTCCTGCATGGTGCCACGTACGAGGCTGGATACCGAGCCGGTCTTACTGTCGCTCACGCATCCTCTGTCAACATAGCGTGTGAAGCCGGCAGAGCACCGTCGGCAACGCTAAACTGCCATTTAGGCCGATTGCAACCAACTGTGCATGATTTCTGCAGACCTTTAGGTATGCTACTTAATTTATTCACATTAGAACTTTTATATAATTTCTTACTATTTTGTATAAACATTAATGAAATTATAAAACACGTGCAAGTTATTATTAATGAAATAAATGTTGCTCATAATAATATGAAATATCTAATTTCAGCTAACTTATCAAGACCCCGTCCAACATCTGAATTCCAAAGTGGCTCTGACATCGTTCGTGAAGATATATCTGAGTTAGAACCAGATATAGATGGAAGAACTGTCACAGATTGCGGACCGCCTGCACGGTAAAAATGTTATGTTATTGCAATATTCCTTGCTAAGTCCACACGAAATTGTTGCTATATTTTCATATTAAGAGCCATATCTGGATGTAAGTTTAAGCCAAATAAACATGGCCCATTTCAATATTCATTGTTTCTACTTCAAAAATTGCATTGTAAATTTTATAGCTTTAAATTCAATTCAAAATAATGATTTCTATCCATCGAAGTGATTATTTGAAATGGACACATTTGGCTTTGTATATAAATATATTATTTAATCGGTTTATCAAGCGCTTTCACTGTAGCTTGTGTGTTTATTTAATGTATTCCTTCATCTGTATTAACATCTCATTCAGAGATATGTATTATGTCGCCATGTATTTGTAAAACAAGTCCTACTTTTCTGGTGTCAATATTCAATTGTTTCTTTAACATATAATTTAACACGTTATCAAAATTAAACACTAGAAAAGTTACCACTGATCTTTGTGCTTTGACGCATTCAGTTAATGTTTCTTTTTTGTTTTGCTATTGTCACGTGAATTCTGAGCAGTAATAATAACAAGTTGAACCCAATGGTCATACTGTTTTTCAACCGACTTCAAAAAAGAAGAAGTTCTAAATTTGGTGGCATTTTTATGTTTGTTTATTCATAACTGCGTCAATAATATTATTATTTGTTTTCTTTTTTCGGAAAGCATATCATACTTTTAGATTGACCTCATAGAAATTTTATTAAAATCGGTTTGCTTTTAAATCAAAGTTACTGATTTTTTTTAATTTAAAGTAATTTATTTTGTCACGATTGAAATCGATATTTTCTGTGAACAGAATATTGAAGTATTGTTATTGTAACTTACAAAAACTTTTATTATAATGTTAAAAATATTGAGTACAACTTGTTTAAAATATTATATCGCAACATCATCCATTAGTGGATGAGAAGAATGACGAAAAAATAATGTTTTTGCAAAGAGTCTGCGTTTCTTATTTGCTGGCTGGATAGACTGAAGGGAACACAGGCGTTCAGGGATGCGAAGCCCTGGTGAGAGCCTTATAGGTTCGGACTTTTGCTTCTTTAAATTCTTCATCATTTATCTCATCATCATTATTGAATATAATATCATGAACAACTCAAATAGATCCATCATCTGCATCGAATACTTCACATTTATTAAAATCTCGATCAGTTTTTCCTATCTTGTTACATTTAAAGGAATCTACGTCTTTTTCATACCCATAAAAAGTTGCATAGGACTTATCAAATCCTCAGACGGCAGGGCTTAGATTGTTTAGGTTCAAATGAAATATTTTTATGTGCATATGTACATTGGAAAAGCTGTTTGTATGGCCATTGTTATGGCTTTGTATGTCTTGGCCAAGCTTGGTTTTTGTTGCTCAATTAATTACTAAATTTTTAACGTGTAGTGCATGGTGTTTCAATATTTATTAATTTTGTAAAATAATATTAAGTTCTTTAAATATTTTAATACTATTTCCCTCTCTATTGTGAAAATATTGAGAACTTTCCAAATTAATTGAATTTCTAAGTGGCTATAACTTTACTGAGACAGCTATAGGTAAGGATTTATTAAGTTAAAAATATTATAAAATTTCATCTTTTTTATTATAGTCATCTATAAATTCAATGGAAGTTTTCAAGCAACCCAATAGTTGTTAAAGTATAATTATATGTAATTAGGCATTTACAACTCTTTCATAGGGTACAAGGCACACTCATTTATCGTGATGGAACTGAGGTGAACGGGACCCTCGGTTTAGAAGGGTATCCTCACGGTACAGAGATAACGTTTCGATGCATTGCATCCATAATGGGTGAGAAGACCACATGGAAACTGATTTGTGAACAAGGGAACTGGGTTGGGAAGAGTTTTAATTGTGGTAAGTCTTGTTTGGGCAATTATTTGTCTTTGCCATCAAAATAATCAATACAGTCCCAATTTTGGATGTATGTCGGAAAGAGTGTATGCTACTATTACCACGGCCATGGTTACACAGAGTTTTTTTATATCACAAAGGTGGCAAACAAGAATACAACAGTTTTATTTCGGGTTTTTCTTATACTGCACTGAAGTATTGTATTATAATCACTTTGGAACATTTTGGGAATATTGTGAGAAGGACTTGGTGGTGACAGCCGTAAATTAAAGAAAGTGAAAGTTAATACTACCATTACGAAAATTAAAGACGAATGAAGATAAGTACCGGCTACAAATGAAATGTGATAAGGCGAGGCAAAGAGAAATAGGTGAAATGATGGCTATATTAAAATTCCTTAATGTCTATTTTTTATGCAACATGGAATAGTAAACAAGCAACCAGCCCACTTGATAGAAAGTGATCTAATATAAGCAAGTCTATCATGGACGTATTATAACATATTGTGATACCCATGGTACTTCTAATGCATTGCCATTGCTGAAGACTAAGATATCATTCCTTTACACCCTGTAATTTCACTGCTATACCCATTCAAACCGAAAAACAACCATGTAAGCATAGCGGTTATCAAAAACACGAGTATGAGAGAGTTACCCATACAAATTGCAAATGATTTTCATACAAACTCTTCTTCTGGTATTTCGGTGTATATTATACGTCTTTTAATATATTTTACAGAAGAATTAGAAGCACAAAGTGAAGAACTATTAAACAATAATAGTTGTACGTTCCGAAATGAGGAGCCCCACGTTGTGTCATTCTACAATGATCTGGAAATCACTGAAACCGTAGACTTTCCAGCTGGTGCTATCATTATTTCCAGGTAAGATTACATTTCACTAGATCCGCGATTTTAATTTTAAATTGTGATTACATTTAATAATACAGATATAACCAAGAATGGCTATTTTCAATTAAATCATCATTTTATAGAGAAGTCACGAATTTTACAGCTTTCAATAATATATGTTACTAGCAATCTGCCCTCACTTCGCACGGGATATGGGAGATAGAAAGATAAATTAGTATTTTATATTAGTATTAATAGTCACATTTTTGATACCATGGATTACATTACATATTGTAATTTTAGTAAGAATAGAAATCCTTTCATTGAAATTTTATTGAAAATAATATATAGCCTATTGTATTTGCAGATTAATACTATTTTTACGTAAGAAAATCCACAGGTCTTATATAGCTAGAAATAATCAATGTTCTAATATTAATTATAGATGCAGTGACGTCGGAAAGTATGCAATGACAGGCTCTCAAGCACGTAGGTGTTTGGGTGGCGCTTGGGATGGAGTGAAGCCCACGTGTTTTGGGCTCAACCAAGAAAATGATTATGCCAGTAGGTATTAATAGTTTCACGTGGTAACGTCTACTGTTTAAAATGCAGCATGATTTTTAATAAGACTCGTGCATCTAATTTTATCATGTGAACATGAAATGAAGGGGCCATGATTTAACTAAACGTTTTCCCTAGAAACTACAGTATGGGATTTTTCAAAAAGAGTATATTACGGTTTCTTCAGGGTCGGCAACGCGTACGTGATACCCCTAGTGTTGTAGGCGTCCATAGGCTGCAGTGATCGTTTACCATCGGACGGGCTGTATGCTTGTTTGCCATCTTCATGGTATTAAAAAAAAAAGAATTTTCGTGATTAAAATCAATTACTGACATGTAGTATATTTACTCCATCACTATACGGAAGTATTTCATTTTGTATATGATCTACATATCAAACGTTTTACTTATCTGACAATTTTTTTCTTTAATTGATGTTATTATCATTTATTACATCTTTATTTTTCACTCTTTAACATGTTTTATTTTAAGTCTGATATTATCCATTACATTGTAATTCTTGCTATTATTCAACTTGCTTTCAGTGGAAAAGCCTCCAACGATCCTATTCCGACACTCGCAAGGTCCCATTGCGCAGACCAACGATGGTAAATTATTGGTGTACCCAGGAACTGTGTTGCATATGGAGTGTCTTTGGATGAGGAGGTTTGGAAACCCGAAGTGGAACGTCACGCATCACTATCCTGAGTATGTATAATATAAATATTAAACATGTTGATAAATAAACAAATAGGATGGGGAAGGGATTGTTAGTAATGCGGGTTACTAGTTCCATTGCTGTCAATGTACTCTGTCAGTTAGTTGTTGTTATATATAAGTAATCTTTTTTGCATAGTTGCACGAAGTTTTGCTAAAAGTAGTTCATCCACAGTGTCGATCGTAAGTACCCTGAGGGCTGGACTACAGATCCAGGTAGAGACAGCCAGCTGGAGTATCGGTTGAGTATCATGGGCGCCGTGAAAGAAGATTCAGGAATATATCGTTGTGAAACTCCAGCCCGACAAAGTCACCAGGTCGAGATAATTGTCGAAGGTCAGTCTACGATCATTTTTCAAAATATTTGTTATATTATATAAACCTTATAGGATTTTATTATGGAGTTAGAAAGGTAGGTTTCTTCAAAGAGAACTATGTAGTAAGAAATATTACAATTGAAGGCGTTAGATCTCAAAGAATACCAAAGAGTGGACCTAGAGTAGACCCTTGTGAAACATCTATTCTTACAAATTCGTTAGAAATTACCTTTAGTTTAAATCTATTTTTTTAAAGTTTTAATCATATTAAATTTAAAGTATTAAGATTAAATATTATTAATGTAATAAAAAATTTTAAATAAATCCAAATACACCTATACTATTTTTATGCAAAAATGTATCCAAATCAGACGTAAGATCCACTATACAAAGCGCACTTTGAAATGTTTGGTTTGATTGATTATTATTTAAATACCCATAAATACTTGCTTTATCTATTTCTATAACTCGAATATTTATATATTGTAGTTACAATATCTATATATTTCCCTAATAACAGACGTATTAAATACCGGTTATCCAATATTTAATATTGAAATGAAGAACTAAATCCAATTTTAATATTCGATGTATATCAAAATGGTGAATGACCTTTGTTACGCCATCTATGTCCAGTGCAATATATAGACAGTCCAATATCGTCATAGTCGTAGAATACTGACGGATCTTTATATGTAATATTCGTCAGATCCGTCAGTATTCTACGACTAGGACGATATATAGATATCAGAACGGTAATGATACTCATGAATACTCGTTATGGTCTTTTGAGTAAAAACTCTTCGCTTACCAGATGTACACTGCCCCCGCTGCCGCTGCGGCGCGGGCTGGTGGGCAGCGGGGTGGGCACGCGGCTGGGGACGGAGGTGCGGTTCTCGTGCGCCAACGGGAACGCCTTGCTGGGCGCGCACACGCTCGTGTGCCGCGCCTCGGGCAATTGGAGCGCGCCGCTGCCCGTCTGTGAAAGTCAGTTTATAATATTTATTTATTAAAATATTTATGTATTTATGTGCCAAGATTGTTCTCCTCTAGTGGTCTGACCGGTTCCAGATTACGAGCAATCAGGTATGCGACCTCGGTCTTTCGAGCTACTGCAGCTTCTGATTAGTATCCACACCCCATATGCAGTGTGCCCTTTTCGCTTTTCTCCAATAGTACTTCATTTCTATTCTACCAATTTCCTTTACTCATTCCCAAAGTTTCTCTCTCCTTTCCTAGATCCTTCCCTCCTTCCTGTAGACGGCAGATATCGCCAATAAGTGTATCCAAGGAGGGTTGACGTCAAGCAAGCAGCTGTTCGTAAAACTAAAAGCCAAACCTTTAAATTCATATAATTGGAACACCTGAGTCCTCAGGAATGGCAAATCATGGGCGAAAACAGTATACTCTGTTATGTCCATGGTACAGCTCATGTCTATAGGCGACGGTTATCACTTTCCATCAGGTGGGCCGTTAGCTTGTTTGCCATTCTAAGTTGTATAAAAAAAAAACCTATTTATTATGTCTGGGAATACTGTACTAAAATTAACAAATGACGTGTCATTCTCCGTCTGTGTCTTAGGTCAAAATGACTTTACTTAAGTAGGTTGTGTATTAAGCTATATAAGTTACTATAGTTTTTTAACTAACCCACGGGAACCCTTAAATTTTTCGTGATCAAAGCTAGATAGCTTGATCGAGGATGTAAGGTACCACTATGCAAAATTTCATTTAAATCGCTCCAAGAGTTTCGGAGATTAGCACGAATAAACTGACAAACAGAGAAACAAAAATTTGAAAAAAATTTGATGTATTCTATTTCATTTTTAACATCGCCCTGACTCGGTATTTAACGTTTTTTTTTTTCTATGTACAGACATTCGACCTCTACAGTTTTATTATATGTATAGTTTTATCTTATCATTGCACGTTGTTTAATCTCTTAAACTAATATTATTTAAAGGAAAAATTAGATTTTCCGTTTGTAATGGAAAATCTTAAAAAATACTTGACATAATTGAAAAATTCTTTGACCGCTGTAACATTAACGTGAAAGTGACATGTTCATTTCATCATTTCATTTAATTATCAATAAATTTATAAATCTTCTGACATTGCGTGTAAATCAGTGGCAAGTTTCTAGTAAGTTATATATAAAAATTCCGTTTCACTATGGTCATTAACGCTAATCTTCGAAACCGTCCAAACGATTTCAATGATTCTTTTATTAAGACCGCATATTATTTTCCCGGTATGATGTTTTCTTGTAATTATTTATGTATAAGTTTGCTACTGTTGTCTTTTGGAGGGAACAATAAGTAAGAAAGAAAGAAAATGCGACCCATACAGTAGCACACGAAACAAAAACAAAAGAAACAAAAAAAAAACAATAGAATACAAATAGAAAGCAATTATAATAAATTCAGTTCAATTAGTCTAAATTAAAAAAAAAAAAAAAACAATAATAATAATAAAAAAAAATACAAAAAAGTATCTATATAAAAATTCAGGTGTGGAGTGCGGGGAAGTGATCCACGATACTCCGCTAAATGAAGGGGAACGAAGGCCACGCGTGGCGGTCGTGTCCCGAGGAGTTGGAGGCAGGGCGGCCTTCTCCTGTCCACCGGGCTGGGCGCTGAGCGGAGCCACCGAGACCGTCTGCCTGCCTGCTGCGGACTGGGCTCGGCCGTTCCCTGTCTGTAGAGGTATATAGGTAGATTCCTGGTAATCACAGCTTTTTATTCAATAGATATCCCAAATGCAAGTTTCGGTTACCTGATTAAACAAAACTATTCTAGTATAAACTTGCTACATTTGTTGTTTCCAAAATTGTTTGGACTTTATCCGGAAGTCTGCTTCAGAGGCAGAGCGAGGTGAGATGCTGCCACGTAAATACCGTTCTCCCCTAGCTCTGACCTGAATGGCTTTAAAATAATTTGATGGAATTAATCAACAAAAAAATTCCTTACTAAATATATATAAATATTATAAATGTGAAAGTAAATTTTGGTTGTTGAACCAGAGATAATAAAATTTGTTGAACAAAAGAGCAAAGGCAAAAGATTACTCTCTTGGCCCCCTCGAATGCTCGACTATTCATTGCAATCTGTATACATATAGCATTTGGAATGGGAAAGAACTAGTTTTTACCTCGGTTAATCAATATATGGACAAAGTCGCAGTTAAAACTTAGCAAATAAATAAATGTCTAACCGCAAATGGGTACATTAGAGGCAACATATGAATATGTAGTTAACAGTATTAGTGAAGTTCATAAATTGTGGTGATGATTCCAGAGGTGTCCTGCCCAGCGCTTCCGCCCCCAGCGTCAGGTTACGTGCTGGGAAGGGCGCCGTACAGGGCCGGGGACGTGCTGCAGTTCCACTGCAACCCTGAGCACACGCTTCACGGTCGGCCAATCCTCGTATGCCAGGACAGTGGACGATGGAGCGACAAGCCTCCCACTTGTGAGTATTCTCATACTCACAATAATATCCCAGAATAATAATCCCACTATACCCATCTAGGGATGGTTATAGCAGAGTTTCTCTTAAAACATCACCAAAGGGTAACTGCGGTTGCCAATCCGCCTGCCAAGTACAGCAGTTATTGGCAAAACTTCCCTTATTCCTTATATAGGGAAAGTTCTATATTTGAAGTGAAGTGAAGAGAATTATATCATTCATTTATTCATATATTATTCTTTATTTTTCAGGCGCTCAAGCTTGCACATATCCGGGTACGACTATATCCGGACGCATGTCTTCAGTGAAATTCTACTACAAGATTGGCGAATCCGTGACTTTTACTTGTGAGCCCGGGTATAGGTTGAAGGGAGCGCCCATGCTAAGATGTTTGAAGTAAGTACAGAATAAGTTTTTTCTTTTTTACTTGTGAGTTTCCTCTTGAACTTATTAATAAATTGACATATTAGATTTCTATTGACATTAATGGGGACAAAAAAGCTCGTCACCTATCTCGATACGGCCCGTATCGGTCAGACATCTATATTCATTTCGATCGGGTACTTCAATTCGCTATTATATATTGTATAACAGATATTTTAATATCCTTTATTGAGCCAATACATAGATATTGTAAGCACATGTAGTTACTGATACATATTATCTATCCCATAAAATTAACAAAATAAATTGTATAAATCTACAATTGAATTGATCACGTGTTCATTATTGTGGCTCATAAAACTACCTACGCACCTATCTATATATTATTCTTACAATTCTATAATAGTAAATAAACGTTTATTTTTTTTACAGAAATAGAAAATGGTCCAATGCGATCCCTCTATGCACGCCAATCAACAACTACACCTCGTCAGATTCTGTCGCGATGCTGACAGGCGACGTAGACGCCATGTTGTCGGACGCCATATTGCCGACGGACATTTTGAAGACGCACGAAACTCCCGCCATTTTGTCACCGGAGAGTTATAAGGCCGCGATGACGCGGGTCGCGGCCGCCAAATTTTTACGGAGAGCTCCAATTGAAAATTATAAAAATAGGATCTCTAGAGTGAATAGGTTGTTACGAAGGGACACTGAGAGGTAATTTTTATGAAGAAAGGAATTGATTTTGTGTAGTAATATTAGATATGGTTCAAGTGGCATAATGTTTTACGTAATATGAAAATATATGTGTCATATTCGACGATCTTTGTAATTCAAATAAAATACATAGATAATATAAATATTGTGAAGTAACTAATTCAGTTACGTGATAATATAAACGAAAATATATAGGTATTTCATCCCATCCATCTCTGATATATATTCTGTATTAAACATTTGATAATAATAACTCTTACCTATAACGTAGTTTCGAAATGTACATACAGAAAGAAACTTTAATCATTAACATCTTTTTAAAGTAATGTTCCACCAGTGAAACTATCAATTCTTAGTTTTTTTGGAACCTTCATTTTATCGGCCGGTAAGCTTAATATTTTTTTATTATTTTTAACCAGTATTATTTTGGGAAAATTTATTAATATCGTTGTAGAACACTCCCTTAAAAAAAATACTAACGACTACGTTTCCACCTAATAATTGTTGATAGAACGATAACCTCAAATCAATCTACAAATTAATGTATTTTAATTTTGTTATCAGTTATAAAATGAATTCACATTTGAAGTTCCAAATTGGCTTAATGAGCATAATCAATAGGTAATGTTGTCTTACATTAACAACCAATTAAATGCTCGAATACTGTTAAAAGTACCATTAGATATTCCTCTTAGATAACTAAGAGTATTAATCTACAAAACAGGTCACAGATTAAATAAAATAAAAGTGTTCGTGTGCCCTAAATTATGGGGTCATATTTCTTAATCTACGATCACGGCGGTCATTCTCGGCGCCTCTAATCGTAATTTAACTTGTCGTTAATTATTTTAAACTTTAAATATATCAATCACACTTGCGTTGTATCGCCGGAAATTTATTATCACTCTGGTAGCTTAAAATATTTGAAATTGATGCTTCATCTGTAGATACAACTCTTTTTAAGAGGCTAAGTTACTTAGACAATACATAGAAAGAGAATGCAAAAGGCAAACTTTTAAGAAGCTAGATACATACTAAAAGGTCAAGATATTTCCCCCTTTTTACTATGTACATATTATTATTTTACTTATCTCATAAATCCCACGTGATTACGTTATCGGAAATTGGTAGACATAATATTTGACTTCTCTTATACAGCCTCTATCCTCCTTTTCGCCTTTTACTCACAGTAAAATTACCGTAGATAGGTACTGTTCTTAATCTATGAATTTAACACTCGTATGAACATGGGTTAATTAATACAATTTTGTTTCATTATTCATAAGTGAGGCAAAGAAAAGTTATTATAACATTTATAAAACTAAAGTTACCAAATAGATCTCCAAATTAATTCTTATAATTTTTAAATTTATTTAAATTTAAGCAATTGCAATTTTGTTTCATTATTAATAAGTGAGGCAAAGGAAATTATTTAGTCATTTATAAAACTAAAGTTACCAAACAGATCTCCAAGTTAATTCTTATAATTGGTAAATTTATTTAAGTGTAAGCAAGGATTTGAAAAACAGAGAATTAGAGTAGAATTAAAGTATTAGACTGCTGCCAAAAACACATTTTGTTTTAGTGTGTACTATAAATACACTCATAAGAATTATATTGCAAAATTATGTTTAAGTAATTTCAATGAAGTTACTGTCCCTCTAATACCATATTACAAATACGAAGTTCTATTTAACTTATAATTACGTTGTATTATTGAGATTTGACCGGAAAAAAGTAAAAACAAATGAAAAAGGAAAAATCCAAAATCAACACTGGCAAGAAATGTCCTACAATAGAGTCCATGACATAGAATTAAAAAAAAAATAAGAACTCAACTTTTCAATTTTAATTGTTAACGTTTATAGTTTAAATTTTATTTCGACGCAACATTAAAATGTAAAAACAAGTATCTCACTGATGTTTGCGACTCTAAAAAGACGTAATTTTCTAGTAATTTAAAGTCATAAAACTACTGAAAAATGACGTCTTAAAAACGTTCCCGTTCTACCTGTGTCTCTAAATAGAACTACGCATTTAAGATAAAAAAAAATTATGAAAAGTCTATGCAATTATATCCGTAATAAACAATACTTATAAATAATTTTTTTCCACTAGATATTTGAGAATTTGAAAAAACTTTACTACTGTAACTACCTTACTTATTACTTTACTTTTAATTTTATTATAAAAAAAAATATCAAATAACCTACGTATTGTGAAGTAATATTATTTTGAAGACTGTTTTAAATAATATTAATATTATAATTAATCAATTGTCTATTTTTTTTTAATAGATAAAAAAAAATATATTGTAAATATACGCTTTGCCAAAGTTTAGAGTACATACTTCTATAAATAATAGTTAATAGTTGTTACTGTAGGGTTATTTGGTGGGATTCGTTCGGTGGGATTTAGGTGTCCATGACATAATATATTTTGTTGTACGTTTGTCACAAACTTACACCTAAATATAAACAGGGTCGGCAACGCGCATGTAACACCACTAGTGTTGCAGGCGTCCATAGACTACAGTGACCGTTTACGATTAGACGGGCTGTATGCTTGTATACTTGTAAAAAGTATTCTAAAAATGTAATGCTATTTGCCAGTGTGGAAAATAATTTAATGAACAATAATTTAATTCAATTTTAAACGTTAACAAAATGTTCATAAAGATTAAAATCGAGTGTAGATATGTAATTATAATAATTTTATTTTTTTTACTTTAAGGTATTTAATCTATATATGCCTTTACATTTAAGACATAAAACTGTTTGAAAAATATAAAATTAAATGAAACAATAATATTATTATATATTTAGTATTATTAAACAAAAACAATATTTAATGATTATATTAAGTAATCGTCGATCATTACTTTACTGGACTTTACGTAACGCATCGCAAACTTATCGGTTCAATATAACATACAATTAAGCGAAAGTGGGTTAATTCTGGGGCACTGCTCGTATTTCCTAAACCTATCTCCAAATTTACAATTTCTATTTAATACTTCAGTAAAACTATTATGGTGTCCATCGATATATTAAGCAGTTATGATACCAATCTGCTAATATTTTAAATTTTTCTGTTGTTTAGAATCACTTTGCTGTAATATCAAATTGAAATTCGAATTTTAAAAATAGAAAATGTTGCTTCAGAATCGACTTGGCAGTATCAACTATGTTTGTTAGATAGACTTAAATAAAAAAAAAAAATCTATTTAATACAGTTCTTTGAGAGAGAAGACTATCAAAATATAACTGTGGGGTTTCCATTATCATTGGTTGGGGGGTATCGTGGGCGAAACAGTATACTCTGTTATGTCCATGGTACTGCTCACGTCTATAGGCGACGGTTACCACTTTCCATCGAATGGACCGTCAGCTTGTTTAACATTCTAAGTTGTATAAAAAAAAAGTTTATTATTTTTTTCGTTTTACATATTCATTATCTAGAATTTATTAAATAAAAAAATTGCATAAAAAACAACAAAAAAACCATCAGCTATGACTTATGACTATGGCAAAAGGGACAACAAAATATATTGTAATGGGCGTCTTACAGTGCTCATTGACGAATCTAAAATTGGAAGTCCAACCACGAAGAATTCAAAATGGCGTCATTAGTGCTGTTCATAATATTTAAAACCATATCATAGACTGTAAGACGGCAAAGCGTATTCGTAAAATCTGCAACTACTAGAATGATGCGGCAAATATTTTAGCTTAGAATCTTTAAAAGAAAAAAACAATTTTAGAGCGAAATTTTAGAGAATACTTGGTAATACATCTCGTTAATATTTACTGTATTTGTTATTTTTCTTTTCACTTGGTGCAATAAAGTGTAAAATAAATAAATAAATACCTGTATTTAGTATTACATTTGACATATACGAGTCTTTATTATATTATATAGAGAGAGAGTTTCCATACAAATGCTTCGAGAAAAACGGCTAAACTATTTCATACAATTTTGAATAATAGATAGCTGATGAGTGATCACTTTATAACTTCTATATTTATTTTGTTTTATAATTTTTACATATTTTTGATGCGTAAAAACTTATGTTATTTATTAAGTAATTAAATATAGACACATCGAGATACATTATGTGCGTAAGTACATAGAATAATAATATAAAAACAAGTCAGCTAATTTGACAATTAGCTGACAAAAAGTTGACCCGTTTTTGAGGCTCGATGCTCTATCTATATATGATTCATTCATTTATTTCCTTAGTTTTATAATAAACAGTACGATTTACATATATTATCTAATGTACGATATTATCTAATGTACCTACATTATTCTTTGAAATTTGAAGTACATAGTTTTATAGTTTTTCTCGGACATTTGTTTATGTATTGAAATGAATTTTATTTGCATTAAATAACTTTAAAATTATTAACAAAGGCCATGTAGTGTTAAATTTGGCACCTGTTTAATTGCCTTAAACGATGTAGGCATGCAAATATTTATATTTTATAAAAATGGTTGCATGAACATTTATACATTTTTACACAACGTGATCTTTTGCCATTTTTCTAATATTAATTTTCAATTTCATTCAAGATTAGGCAAGCTTTATTATGAGTTTGTAGATTTTAACTGAAAACGTTAAAATGATGTTTGTATTATTTATTATTTTGCCAAACAGAGTCTATAATCAGAACTGTTTCAATATTTGACAATAACATTATGGAATGCAATAAGAAATAGATATTTTCTTAATATTTCTTTTTCTGTGATAATCATTTGAAAAATACTCAGTCTTCTGATTTCGAATACGTCAGTCTTAAAAATTTAAAGCAAACTTATGGGTAGTAATAATTTGTATATTTAATTTTTTAGTTTAAAAATCTCTTTAAAAAAAGAGCTTCCTGTAGAGGTTTTCCCAAGAGACTACAACACGAGGTTCTTCAAAAGGGGGGTAAAGAGGTCTCTTCAGGGTTAGCAACGCGCGCGTAATTCCTCTGGTATTGCAGGCGTTCATAGGCTACGGTAACCGCTTACCATCAGGTGGGCCGTATGCTTGTTTGCCACCTCAGTGGTATAAAAAAAATCTATGTAATAAAGGTTATTTGATTAAAATCATTTTATATGGACTTTAACAAGATAAATATCTAGTAATATTTAATAAAGTTCTTTGTCTAATTTCCTTAATGGTTTTCGTTTCTGATTTAAAAAAAAAACACTGCAGTCATAAAATATTTTGCCGCGTCATTCTTTGTGGTTTTATGGCAAGATGGCGTCGATTGTCTGTCACAAATAACAAGGAATTACGTAGGAGTGAGAAAATTGTCAATTCATAGCAGGCTAGTGTATAGACAATGTTATACGACCGCATAACCCTACCAAATTCAGATACAATCTGCTTGCATACTTTCTACATAAACTGTGTCGAATATATAATCTAGTAATGTAAAATTTGTTATTAACAAATAATTGACATATCAAACGTTTTCTATACACTAGCCTGCTATGAATTGAGATAAATAGCAACTGTTGGTGTATATTTCGTCCTCTTTTTACTAATTATATTTGCCTAAGAAGAAAGGAGGAAACCATATGATTTACAATTTTAATTTTGTCATTCCTTCTATGTAATTCCTTGTTCTTAGGTCTGTCATAACTGTCCACGTTTTAAATAAGTTAACTAATAGATAAACTAATTATAGTTGTAATTTAAAAGTACTTAAGTACGTTAGATATGTATGTATGTACCACGCACAAACGTTTGGAAAACTTTTGCCTCTGAAATTTGACAAAGATCAGGTGAATAAAAATATTTTATCAACAGGTATCATAAAGTTTTCTTAATAATAAAAAAATATATTTAAATTGAATTATGGGTTGATTCGTTAGGATTTTTTTTTAATTTTTGTATCTGAAATTCATAGATAAAATGTAATATATTTTATATTGTGATTAAAAAATATAACTTACTTTTAATTATTGTTTATGGTACTAATCATAAAACTCTATATATATATATATATATAATTAATACGAACAAATATTGCCTGATCTTTGATGTAAATTTTCGCTCAAAAATTCACATATCTTAAATTAAAAATAATATATTTAAAAGTTATAAACTCAGCATGTTTTAATTATGTATACGTTGAATAAAATTCATAATTACAATGTAATAATCCTATTTAATTGCCAAACTAAACATGAATTAAATTCAAATCTGATTGTAATTGTTTTTTTTTTACTGAGCTGTACACACGTGAAACTGAAATAGTCAGCATTGTTTTAAAAAAAATCCTATTAGTGGAACTGAACAATTTCACGACAAAAACATAAGTGGAAAAATGACGAAAAACTTTTTGTGGAAATAATAATAATTCGTTTTTCACGAAGCATAGAAGAAATGCTTCGTGAAAAATGAGTCGACTTTTTCATAAAATATTGTGTGATAAATAGTTATGAGTGATGCCTTTATAACTTCTATCAATATTTATTTTGTCTTATAATCTCTGCATCTTTTTAATGCGTAAACACTCATTTTATTTATCAAATAATACGTCAAGATACATTATAAGCGTAAGTATATAGAACACTGTTTAAAAAAATAAGTCAGCTAATTTGACAAAAAGTTGACCCGTTTTAGAGGCTCGATGCTTTATCTATATAATCTAAGATTAAAATAAGTCACTGTAGTGTGTCACACATGTTTGCACGGGAGCGTACGGGTGATTTTTACGCAATACGACGCAAACGAATTGTTTCGCTGTTGGCTAGGGTGCGTGTTAACTCAAACAGTGTCCTGAAGACAATTGCTGATAAAATGGACTGTCCCATCCTAAAATATTGGGTGGGACAGGTTATCAATGCAAGAGCGTCATGACCGCTCATTTACTAACATAGGTTAAGTCAATTTTTAAACTAACAAAATGGGCCTATATTAAATTTTACAAAAATATTATCTCCCCTCTTAAGGAGAGGAGATGGCAACTAATCCCCGGCAGAAGCACAGTCGGCCGGGGTTCAGGGTCCTAGGGAGAGAAACCGGCTTGTCGGTGCTAATTCATGCATCTTCATCCAGCCAGCTCTATCCCAGGCCATATCCTTTATCTCCCTATACGACATGACACCTAGTGTTTCTTTTATCTGTCTCATGTAGTTATTCCTCGGTCTTCCTCTTCCTCTTTTGCTCTATATTTTTCCTTCATTTTTTTTTTATATTGTATGCTTTATTTATTTATTCTGTTAGTAGATTTAAAAATTTTAATACAACAATATATTAATTAATTTGAGTTATTTTGGAATGAGACATCGGACGTAGAGCTATCTCATTCTATTTGACGGTCTCGCTAGCGATAGTCCATTGAGGGAATCGTTATCGAAAGCGAGTCCACGAGTTGGAATGAGACATCCGACGTTGCTATCTCATTCTATCACACAGACTTGCTGGCGAAGTCGATTCCAATGATGAATACTTTTGCCACTTGTCTAGAGGGCCAGCAGTTTGGTCATTTCCTAATTCCTGGCCGCTTTGTTTGAATTTTTAAATCGTGGCTACAATTTTTTTTTAATATGTAATTAAAATAGATACTCTTTATTGTTTCCTCCAAAAGTGTACAATAGTAAACTTATTACAAATATAAACAATTACAAGAAATAATCACAATGAGAAAACAATGGACAACCTTATCGCTAAAGCGATCTCTTCCAGGCAACCTTTGGATGGAGAGGAGTAATTATAAACAATTTGATACTTAACTATATTTTTTTACAGCCAATATTCACAGTTACTATTTTAAAATTGATATTTAAATAATCTTCTCACTAGATGGAGCACCGACCTTAAAACATGTGTTTGCAAGATCAAAACCGTTCCCTCAGGCAATTTATGAAGAATGTCTATATTCAGCAGTGGACAAGCAATGCTTGGAATTATGGCAAATCACATGAAATAACTAAAATTGTGTTTCAAGCAATTTTTTTTTTTTTATATAACAGACTTGAAAACCTCCTCAAAAGTGTTAGAAAAGAAAAAAGTTACCTCATTAAATGACCTTGAGAGTTTTGTTTCTAAATTTTATCACTGAGTGACACAATCTTAAGTAATAATAATAATAATAAATAAAATTAATCGAAAGTACTATCACGACACCAATGACAAAACCAACTAAATCATTAATCAATTGAACTAATTACGCAATGCACGCACTCGTGTCCAATTGTCATTATAAGTTTTATTATAATTTGTTTAAAGATAATTCATTGTACATTGCCGACTTGTAACTATAATCGTTCGGATTCGAGTAATTCAAAGCAGCGTTGTATTGTTACCAACTAGAAGAAGTCTAAAGTAATCAAATAACTTTATTTCACAGTAAAAGGTACCGTAATGCGATTGAAAACTCAGTTGAGCGCTCGTCGCGTTCCCCGAATGGCGTTTGGAAGTTGTGCGTTTTCGCGGCAAAACGCGCATAACTTTTCGACTGTCACAATTTAAATTTCGAATACATTTTCGTTGGCGCGTTTTTATTTGACATCTGATTGCAGTGATTTTTGTTTTCTTTTTTTGAATCAGTGCTGTGAATTGTGATTTAGAAAATACAGTGTGATGCCTTATTGTTTTCGGTCAGGTTACGCCATGATAATACGATAACTTACGAAGGTAGGTTAATAGATTTTGTCGTTTAGTTTTGGAGCGGCACTATAGCAATTAAGATAACATTCCGTTTTACTGCATCAGCGCCGCATTCTCAAGTTTTATGTGTGTACCCCATTTTACAGTCACGCACATTGGTTATATTCAAAGTTAACTTTTTTGGCTCAGACAAAAAGTTGTATTGATTGATAAGAGAAAAAATCGCTTAAGACATTTTTAAAAGTAAATTAGGTACATACTTAGATGTATCTGATAAAAAATAGGTGCGTTCACTACATAATCAAATGTCTACTAGTAAGTACAGGGGGGAAAGGAATTGTTAGTAATGGAGACTGAGAATCCCATTGCTAGCAATATACCCAACCAGGTCGACCTCCTCGCGGTTCTCCCTGAAAACTATCATGGTTAATTCCTGATGAATTCATCATGACGGGCTAACTGGCCTGTTTTCATTCTCATCTATCACCCTTCACTGGTGCTCCGCCAGCGTATCCCATTAGCGCAGGTGGGGTTACCATACCATTTTCACCCATCAAAAAAAAAAACTAGTACCTAAGTACATTGTTTACGACTATATTTTTTTAACTGACTAAAAAAAAAGGAAGGTCCCAATTCGTCTGCGTTTAGTATAAACAATTTATTTATATTAAAAAAGGCCATCAATTTGACAATTCTGAACCGATTTTGAAAACGACGTTTCTTTTTTTTTATAAAAAAATAATAGTATTTGATCAACAATGGATATATAAACCTTATTAAGTACAAAAGATATATCAAAATTGGTTTACAATTTACTTAGATATAACATATGAATAAAAAGATATTAATAGGATTAAAAATCCATAATTTGACATGACACCTTTTTAAAATAATCAGCTCGAAAAAAAAATAAAGAGGTATAGACAATTATAGTGGCCAGTTATGTTTTTTTCTACAGATACCTACATAGGTAAATGTATGAAAATAAATATTGTACGTACATACACACATATACTGTTTATTTTTATATAGTTATCGAAAATTTCAAAAAGGGCTAGAAATACTTCATGTTCGTGTTACCAGAGGGAGACTTTGTACAAAAGTCGATTGCTTGGGTACCACTGTCCCATTCGTGTTTCAACCGTGAAGCAGTTGTGTTTGCATGGCTGTGTTTCGGTTTGAAGGGTGGGATATAGCGTGAATTTACTGAGTACAGAGGAATAACACCTGAGTCCTCAGGAATGGTAACGCATGGGAGGTATCATATGCGAAACAGTATACTCTGTTATGTCCATGGTACCGCTCATGTCTATAGGCGACGGTTACCACTTTCTATCAGGGCCGTCAGCTTGTTTGCCATTCTTAGTTGTATAAAAAAAAAAATAACTAGCCTATACCAATCTTTGAGACGTCTGGCCCGATATACGTAATTCTTTTTTTTTTTTACAAAAAATGTTTCCTTCCCACGCTAATTCTGTTATAATTGACGTCAATTTCGCCTAAAAAATATATGTTCCCTCATAGTTATTTAATTATGGACATTATAAACCTGAAGTTACAAACAATTCGTAATACATAATTATGTTACATACAGAATTATTTCGAAAAGAAACACGAATACACCAAATTGCAGTCGGCGGTAAGTGTCTACCTAACGTACCACTCAGGGGGGAAAGGGATTGTTAGTAATGGAGATTAAAAATCTCATTGCTAGCAATATACCCAACCAGGTCGACCTCCTCGAGGTTCCCCCTGGAAACTATCATGGTAAATTCCTGATGGATTCATCATGATGGGCTATCTGGCCTGTTTTCATTCTCATCTATCACCCTTCACTGGTGCTCCGCCAGCGTATCCCGTTAGCGCAGGCGGGGTTACCATACCATTTTCACCCATTAAAAAAAAATCTCTTTTAAATAGTAAATTTTTTGTTGTTGTTCTTGTTTATATATTTTAGACATGTTACTGAATTATGCTTAACATAATAGTCGTAACACACAGGCAATGCCGCGTGTTATCTCTAGTATATGTTGATGATAATAAAATAATGTATCGAACGGAAATGGTTAGGACTCCAACTCGAAGGTTAGACTGTTTGTAATAAATGAATTAACTCAAAAATAAATTAACGAGAGTTTAAATTGTATCATTGCATCATCGCGCTAAATTATTTACGGAATTACGAGAAACTTCAAATATGGCGACTCGCAAATTACAAATAACTTTATTTTTTTAATTTAATGGTTACAGTACGTATACATAAGATTATGTTAAAAAAGAACTGGCTCAAAGTTCCACAGCAAAAACCAGTTTTTAAACCAAAATTAAAAACTAAACTACGTAATCAATTTTGATAAAATTTCTATGCACACCAATTTGTAAATATATCCATTTGGATAAAAAAAAAAGAATTTTCCAAATCGATTTTCAACTAACGGAATTATGAGGTAATAAATATATAAATAAGGGGGGAAAGGGATTGTTAGTAATGGAGACTGAGAATCCCATTGCAAGCAATATACCCAACCAGATTGACCTCCTCGCGGTTCCCCCTGGAAACTATCATGGTTAATTCCTGATGAATTCATCATGATGGGCTAACTGGCCTGTTTTCATTCTCATCTATCACCCTTCACTGGTGCTCCGCCAGCGTATCCCGTTAGCGCAGGCGCATTACCATACCATTTTCAGCCATTACAAAAAAAAATTGACAACCTTCTTCTTTTTGAAGTCGGTTAATAAAACAGTGCGTTTCTCTATGCCATGAAAAAAGAGAAGCGTAAGAATAAATTAAACCCCTTTACGCGACATATTCTCGAATGAATAATGACTTGCACACTCGCAATATTCCATCCTAGTTGGTACAAATCTCTTTTTTAAAATTGCAATGTATCAATTAATCACACATTAATTTGTATTAACATAGGTAGGTAAATATTTTGGTTACATGATGTTACACAAATTTAATTTTTAGTTAATTTTTAGTTATTATCCAAATATTCACATTAATTACCTATTGAATTAAAGACAATTTTAAACCTATTACTTATTGATTAACATTAGGAATATTAACAATTTCAGAATCACGAAATTAAAAATTGTAAAATACAAATTAGATTTAATATTAAGTTAAACAAAAAATATAATAATTCGATTTATACACATATGTATACATTCTCCATGTAGTCCCGGCATAGAATAAGCTACGCCTTCCTTTCCCGCGAGTGTCGTAAGAGGCGACTGAGAGATGGCGAGGGATGGACAGCAGTGTCCCTCTTAAAACATCATCTTGGCAACTACTGGCAAAACGCCCCAAGACGGAGGCTTATGTTCATCAGTGGACAGTTAAAGCCTGATATGATGATGATGATTAAATTTAAACATATACGTATATCTACTTTAATATTATAAAGAGAAAAGATTTGTATTTTTGTGTGTATGTATGTTTGTAATGAATAAACTCAAAAACTACTTTGCCGATTTCAAAAATTCTTTTACCATTAGAAAGCTACATTCAACTTGAGTAACATAGGCTATATTTATTGCTAGAAAAGATTATGGATCCTTACTAAAACTTTAGTAACTTAAGTCATGGTGTAAAAAAATGCTATAAAATATCTTTGGTCGCGTGCGCTGCGGAAACTATTGGTGATAGAACAAAAGTATGTTCAACAATATTGAAGGAAATATCAATAACTACAAAAAACTTAGCAATACTATATGTCCAACTATTATCGTTATGTCACAATAACCTACTTTTTAAAATGTTGTTAAAATGTCCACCCGTGCGAAGCCTTTAAATAGACATTTAGAAGATGTATTAAATTTTAAATTCAAGTTCAAAGCAAATCTACATACAGCCACATCTGAACAGCAGTTTTTCCACAGACAATTTGTACATCGTTCATGAAGCGAGCCACGTGCTCGAACGAGAGTATTTGAAGTAAACAAGACGATTTATTTGCCAGTCACACGCTCGATGCCAAGGTTGTTCGAATGGTTTTACGTGAAAAACGAGCGGCGGTGTACCTAGTCGTATTTGTTCATTATATTGACGTTATTTTCTCAGAGGAATAAATGAGACGAGACAATATGTACTTATATTGTTTATAAAAACTGTTGACGACTCCGAGAATAAGACAAGATGTACCTACTTGTTTGCTTGTTTGTTGAATTTTGCTTTTAATATAGGCACTTGTATATACAAACAAGTGTTGTTTTTTTTTTGATGGGTGAAAATGGTATGGTAACCCCGCGTGCGCTAACGGGATACACTGGCGGAGCACCAGTGAAGGGTGATAGATGAGAATGAAAAACAGGCCAGTTAGCCCATCATGATGAATTCATCAGGAATTAACCATGATAGTTTCCAGGGGGAAACGCGAGGAGGTCGACCTGGTTGGGTATATTGCTAGCAATGGGATTCTCAGTCTCCATTACTAACAATCCCTTTCCCCCTGATACATACCATTTAAAAATGTTAAAATATAATTTCTTTGGACTTTTGTAATAGGATTTATGACAAACGAAATGTTAAGTTCCATTTACTAGGCCAATTTCGGGACGAATAAAAACACAAAATTGAGTCCGAAAATTTGAAATTTCCTTTCATTGTAGAACCCTGGTTACGCTAATGGAATCCTAGTTTTTTTTTATACAACTTAGAATAGCAAACAAGCTGCACGGCCCACCTGATGGAAAGTGGTAAACGTCGCCTGTAGACATGAGCAGTACCATGGACATAACAGAATATACTGTTTCGCCCAACAACTAGCTGCCAATCAGATACAACGTTACTACAATTTTTTAATACTTTGGTTTCACTTAACTGAATTTTCTCTTCAATAACAAAACGCAGTTTACATACCGAGATATCGTGTATCATATGATGTCGTCGCATTCTTGTTTGTAACCAGAGATATTGGATTGTAACGTCGAGTTTGCAACCACTACGTATCAACACAATAAACTAAATGATTTTTCATAAATGCTTCGAGAAAAACGTGGTAACCGTCGCCTATAGATAT